GTAGCAAAATTTGAGTTAAATACACAATGGTTTGAGTCAATTACCCCACGCTACTTATACAGTATTATACAATAATACTGTTCTGGCTTACATACAAATTTGACTTAAGGACAGAACTTGGGAATGGAACTCCTTAAACTGGGGACTTCCTCTACTTCATATAATGATGTAACAAATATCTTTAGTATTTTTCACACTTTTTTTACATTGAATGAGACATCATTAATAAATGCCAAATAATGATTAGAAATTATACATTCTGATCTGCATAATAGTCACTATGTGATTCAATTTGTCTTGTGCAGTAATGGACTGATTACCAAAGTTTTAAGTTCCAGTTTAACTTGGAACATGTGAACAACTAGAAACATTAAAGCTATTTATTTCTAACTATGTTTCTAGAAAATCCTACATCTATCAACAATATATCAGAAGTTCAGGAAGGAGAAGGTTGTTAACTATGGATTAGCTAACTAAAAAAAAAAAACATAGATTGCTCTTTATATTCTCTTGTAATGCAAAACACAAGAGTTGGATATGTTTTTTATATGTCTGAAATAAGGGATGGGCAATCTCTGACCAACAGCTACTACTTAGAAAACTACTGTATAGCCTTCATTACTCACACATCTGTATGCAAACGTTGTTATGGTGCTGAAGGGGCCCAGTTTTGAGCAAACACTTCACGGTTTACAGCATATGCTTCAGATAAACATTGCCACAGGATTTGTACCAGCCAGCCACAACATTCAAGTTTAATTTAGTCTGCATACTGTTGTGGAAGTTGGATAGTCTAAATTGGGATCTGCCCTGTCTTCTTCCATTTTCCTATATAAAGGGAATTGTGTCTGGCAGAGGTAGCTGTGAGCTCACTAGACCTTGAGAGCCAGCCCACCTCAGAGTCCACTTTAGTCAGCCAATCTTTGATGCAGAAAAAGCAAGCAAGCAAGCACGCATTTTCTCTTTGAAGAAATAAACCCTATTCAGGTATTATTCCAAACCACATTAGAAATGATGTATGAAAAGGAAAGAGAGCCAGTTTGGTGTAGTGGATAAGGCACCAGCTAGAGACCATGAGTCCTAGTCCTTCCTTAGGCATGGAGCCAGTTGGGTGACCTGGGGCCGGTCACTTTCAGCCCTAAAAAGAAGGCAGTGGCAGACAACTTACAAAAGATGTTGCCAATAAAACTGCAGGGAGTCAAGACTGAATGGAAGGCACCTCTCCCTTCCCCCCTCCCAAAAGAGGAAAAAGGTCCCATGGACATACTCTGCCTTAAGAATACCTTTGGCCTCTATTCCTAGCAGTCTAAAGAGGGATTTTAAATTCTTGCACTATTGGACACTTACCTCTCTTCAAAACTTTATCCTGAATTTGCAAAGGTTGGGGATTGATTTTTGCCCCTCCCCGTTATGCACTACGTCTATACTATTTGGAGTAATGCCTGAATAGGATTAGTATAGCTATATGCAGGTATTTTTCTAAATATAACGTTAAAATTTGGTGAGGGCCATGGAAGTGTAAGCAAGTGCTATGCCTGCTTGCAATGATATCTGTAAGTGAATTGATCATCTTATCCAAAACCACATTTACAGCTTGTGGGTTGGGCTATGGCCCAAATTGCAGAAAGTGCTATAAGCACATAAACCTGGCTTGCTTTTAAGCAGCACTTCAAATCACTGCACTAAACACAAATATATTTGGAAGCAGCCATGTGCTTGGAGATGCTGAGAATCATGCACACACTTCAGTTATGCCACCATAGCTCTACTGAAATGCAGGGAAATGCCTGGATGGGGCTTTTCTATTGTCTGCGCTTGCTAAGAATGTTTCACAATAATTATGTGTATTTAAAGTTCTTTTATATTTTATGTACAAGCCTATTGCCATCCATTGCACACAGCCCAGAAAATTCAGAGGACAACCTTGGTTCAGTGGTATACATGCCTTATGTAGGCTCACATATACAGTAACGTAGACAACTAATGTGGAAAGGGATTCTTGATAATGAATTTCAAATACACTTAATCACTTGGATTAAACAGACCCTAAAGAAGAATGCCTACTGTATCGATCATTTTGAAAAGGACATTTATGAATCTGTTTTAAAAAGAGTTTGAACCTTTTTGTTCCAGTAGTTTGAAATGTTTCCTTTAGGCATAATAATTTTGAATGTATTGCTACTGAACCTTTTTATGTACATGCTAAACCCTATTTAATTTATGTCAAGGATGTCATAATATATGTATGTATTATAGTGATATTTTCTTTTATTACATTTATAATTTGATCTTGCTGTATTTATAATTCCAGTGAATGTTGCTGAATTATTTGTATATGCAGATTGCAAGATCTAATAATTCCGATGCAAGAACAAGGCTTCATTTTATTTTCAAGATGTATTTCTTTCCTTAAATCTCTTAATTTAATTCCTCTCCTGTTTGCTCATTTAAACTAAATATTGCAATTTTGTAAAGGACGTAAAATCCCCTATTTAAATTACTTTGCCAAGCTGTTAAAATTCTGGTTATTTTACACAGACTACTGTTCTGACAAAAAAGTGTTAAATGAAGCACTTTAGGTGTAACATTTAATTTAAAATGGTAGTTGAATAATTCATTCAGAACACATACTTCTTCTCAATAATCTGAATAAAAGTAATCATTTTTCTTAGTTACCCCAGTGGATTATACAAATGCTAATGCAATCTTGCTGGGCAGTGTTTTTCCTTCTTTTGTAACAAACGCCACCAGTCTAATGCTCCCCTAAACATATTTATTTAAAAAACAACCCGCAGCAGAATTCCACACAGGACCTTTCTTCCTGAAATGGTTGACCCCGCACATTTTAAAGCACTGCTGTAAGCTGCCCTGGGTGTTGCATAAACAGAAAGGTGGAATCTAACTTTAATGAATAAATAAATAAATTCTTCTTTGATTTTGAGTTGATTTTAGTTAGTGGCAGACATGTTCAGAAAGCTGCTGCTTAGTTTTCAGCTTCCATTTATTTTATCCCATTGCTAGGCTTCACCAAAACAGAGAGTGGGGATTTTATCCCCCCTTGTCTAGCAAAGGCTAGGCTTAATCCCCTTTGCCCTCTCTCTCTTTGTGGCACAAGGGCTCCACACTCCTGGTGCAAACCATTCTTGCCTCTTATCAGCCAAAGTTGTAAAAAAAGTGCTTCTGGTCATTGCCTCAGGTTGGGAGATCCAGAAACATCCCCCAAACTGTGTATCGGCTTTTCCTGGGACAGTGTAAACTTATTCGGAACAGGGAGATCTATTAGCGTTTTGGAACTGTGATTCTCCTCACAAACACCTCTATCATGTCTGGTTTTTAATGCTTTTAACTATCGCTCATACTACCCATCTCTGGTCATAGGCAGTCATTTCAAAAAAACATTGCATCGCTATATACTGTAAGAATTACTATGTAATATCTCTCTTTCTGAAAAGCAACTGTCCCTAAGCAACACCATCTGAAATCTGTTTGAGGGAGAGAAATGGAAGCATGCAGAGCCTCTTATTTTCAGATCACTCAGGAGGTTCAGAAGGATGCCATAGTTGATGGTATCAAAAGCCACTGAGAGATCAAGGGGATCAACAGAGTCACACTCCCCCACCCCCAGCAAGCTCTCCAACTAGTCTCAACTCTGACACCAGTTTGAAATTATTCAAGATATAATGCTTCCTGCTTCCTCCAGATTGTCTGCAGTTGAGAAGCTACCACCCTTTTGATTGTTTTATCTAATTATGGTAAATTACAGTGGCTTGTCTCTGAGAGGTCTGATACTGTACAAGCTTCTTTAGAAGAGTTTTAATCATTGCTTCCTTTAAACAAAAACCCTTTAAACAAAGAACTATTTGTAATATTAAATTAATTGACATTTGTAATAACTTCCAAGCTAGAAGTTAGAAGCCAAGTTGGGCAAGGACCCAGGAGACAAGTGGTTGAACATGCCATTCCAAGCAGCCTGTCCATTTCCTTGGTAGGACATTATAAGGTATGTGTAAGAGAAATTCATTTGGAGAATTAAATAATGCTATCACTTATAGTTTGAGAACCAGTTTGACACCGGAAGAGCCAGTTTGGTGTAGTGGTTAAGGCATCAGGCTAGAAACTGGGAGACCATGAGTTCTGGTCCCACCTTAGGCACAAAGCCAGCTGGATGACCTTGGACCAGATACTCCCTCTCATCCTAAGAAGGCAATGCCAAACCACTTCTGAAATCTTGCCAAGAAAACTCCAGGCAGTCACCAAAAGTCAACACTGATTTGAAGGCAAAATAAATAAAAAGTAAAAAAGTAAAAAATCAATCATAATTAAATAATCAGAAAAAAATGTGCTTCACTCACTGTAGGTTTATACCTACAGAACAGAATGATGGAATTATTCAGACTTTAAGTATTCACTAAATGCAATCTTGTGTGATAGAAGTGATTTTGTTTATTCATTCTAAATGTTGCTTATTTTGCCCACAAACAAGTTATAGTTTATGCCCACCACAAATATGTCAGCAGTAACTTCTCCAGCAGGATATGATATATTAAAATTAATTGAATTCTTTAAGTGAGTATGTATTTCAAAACTGTAATTACTACAGAAAAATCTCAGTCTGGGAATTTTCAAGCACTTAAGGATATAATTCTTTTACACTTTTGTTAGGAGAATGTTCTTTAAGAAAATCAATGAAATTTACTTCTGAGTAGACATGCAGAGCTATACGTGCTTGTGTTGTAAAATTAATTGTTCCCTTTTGGGAGGAGTTGTTTGAACATTGAGTATGCAT